AGGTAAACCTGTCCCCCGGTGCCAACTTGAGGGAGGCCGGCGAATTTTTTCCCTGATAAATAACGAGGTCGAAGGAGGCCGGCGAATTAAAATTTGAGGATGTCTCGAGCGAAACGCTTGTTTTTGAAATCACGATCGATAAATCACAGGGTGCGGGCCACTTTTTCGTGTGTTGAGGATGTCTCGAGCGAAACGCTTGCTCCGCAGAGTTTGCCGAGGATGTCTCGAGCGAAACGCTTGTTTTGCAGAGCCGACCGCGACGCGGAAAAGCGCCCGCGCGAAGGAATTTCGCTTGGATGTCCGACTAATTCCTTGTTTTCCGGAAAGGCATGAGCACAGAGGTCTATTTTAGGGTAAACCTAATCCCCGGGTGCCTGCTTGGAGGGGAGCCGTAGCGAATTTTTTCCTTGATAAATAACGAGGTCGAAGGAGGCCGGCGGGGGGGGGGGGGGGGGGGGTAAAAATTAAAATTTGAGGATGTCTCGAGCGAAACGCTTGTTTTTGAAATCCCGATCGATAAATCACAGGGTGCGGGCCACTTTTTCGTGTGATGAGGATGTCTCGAGCGAAACGCTTGCTCCGCAGAGTTTGCCGAGGATGTCTCGAGCGAAACGCTTGTTTTGCAGAGCCGACCGCGACGCGGAAACGCGCCCCGCGCGAAGGAATTTCGATGATGTCTCGACTAATTCGTTTGTTTTTGTACGATTTCCTGGAATTTTGGCAGGATGTCTCGAGCGAAATGCACGACCCCACCCTAGCACGACCATACCCCAGCACGACCACACCCCAGCACGACCAGACCCCAGCACGACCCCACCACAGCACGACCCCACCCCAGCACGACCATACCCCAGCACGACCACACCCCAGCACGACCCGACCCCAGCACGACCCTACCCCAGCAAGACCACACCCCAGCACGACCACACCCAAGCACGACCTCACCACAGCACGACCACACCCCAGCACGACCACGCCCCAGCACGACCACGCCCCAGCACGACCACGCCCCAGCACGACCACACCCCAGCACGACCACCCCCCCAGCACGACCACCCCCGAGCACGACCACCCCCCAGCACGACCACACCCCAGCACGACCACTCCCCAGCACGACCACACCCCAGCACGACCACACCCCAGCACGACACACCCCAGCACGACCACACCCCAGCACGACCACACCCCAGCACGAACCACATCAGCACGACCACCACCCCAGCACGACCACGCCCCAGCACGACCAACCCCCGCACGACCACCCCAGCACGACCACACCCCAGCACGACCCCACCCCCACCACGACCACCCTTAGCACGACCACCACCAGCACGACCACACCTCCAGAACGCCCCACCACATGCACGACCCCACCCAAGCACTACCCCCAACCAGCCGACCACACCCCAGCACGACCACACCAGCAGGACCCACCCAGCACGACCCCAACCCCAGCAAGACACAACCCCCGAGCGACGACCACACCCAGCACTACCTCACCACAGCACGACCACACCCCAGCACGACCGCCCAGCACGCCCACGACACAGCACGACCACGCCCAGCACGAACAACCCCCCAGCACGACCACCCCCCAGCACGACCACCCCCCAGCACGACCACACCCCAGCACGACCACTCCCCAGCACGACCACACCGCCTTGGTTGAGTGGTTGCCTGTCGTCGTGGAATGTTTCGTGGGGTGTCTCGTGGAATGTTTCGGGGGGTGTCTCGTGGAATGTTTCGTGAGGTGTCTCGTGGAATGTTTCGTGAGGTGTCTCGTGGGATGTTTCGTGAAGTGTCTCGTGGGATGTTTCGTGAGGTGTTGCCCAGTTGGGTATCGTGAAAACGTGTCCATGCTCCACATGTCTAAATCCCTTTCCGGGTTCGTGGGTCCATCATGTTGTACGATTTCCTGGAATTTTGGCAGGATGTCTCGAGCGAAATGCACGACCCCACCCTAGCACGACCATACCCCAGCACGACCACACCCCAGCACGACCACACCCCAGCACGACCCCACCCCAGCACGACACCACCCCAGCACGACCACACCCCAGCACGACCACACCCCAGCACGACCCGACCCCAGCACGACCCTACCCCAGCACGACCACACCCCAGCACGACCACACCCCCGCACGACCACACCCCAGCACGACCCCACCCCAGCACGACCACGCCCCAGCACGACCACGCCCCAGCACGACCACGCCCCAGCACAACCACCCCCCAGCACGACCACCCCCCCAGCACGACCACACCCCAGCACGACCACCCCCCAGCACGACCACACCCCAGCACGACCAATCCCCAGCACGACCACACCCCAGCAGACCGATCGATAAATCACAGGGTGAGGACACCCAGCACGGCCCACACCCCAGCACGACCCCACCCCAGCTACGACCCCACCCCAGCACGACCACGCCCCAGCACGACCACACCCCAGCACGACCACACCCCAGCACGACCACACCCCAGCACGACCCCACCCCAGCACTACCCCACCCTAGCACGACCACACCCCAGCACGACCACACCCCAGCACGACCACACCCCAGCACGACCCCACCCCAGCACGACCCCACCACAGCACGACCACACCCCAGCACGACCACACCCCAGCACGACCACACCCCAGCACGACCCCACCCCAGCAAGACCACACCCCAGCACGACCACACCCCAGCACGACCTCACCACAGCACGACCCCACCCCAGCACGACCACGCCCCAGCACGACCACGCCCCAGCACGACCACGCCCCAGCACGACCACCCCCCAGCACGACCACACCCCTAGCACGACCACACCCCAGCACGACCACACCCCAGCACGACCACACCCCAGCACGACCACACCCCAACACGACCATACTCCAGCACGACCACACCCCAGCACGACCACACCCAGTCGCACCCCCGTGGAATGTTTCGTGGGGTGTCTGGTTGAGTGGTTGCCTGTTCGTGGGGTGTCTCGTGGAATGTTTCACGGGGTGTCTCGTGGAATGTTTTGTGAGGTGTCTCGTGGGTTGTTTCGTGAGGTGTCTCCTGGGATGTTTCGCGGGGTGTCTCGTGGGATGTTTCGTGAGGTGTCGCCCAGTTGGATATCGTGAAAACGTGACCATGCTGCACATGTCTATATCCCTTTCCGGGTTCGTGGGTCCATCATGTTATTCATTGTTTTGCCGATCAGCGCGGGACCCCAACCCCCCCTCCCCCCTCATGGAGTAGATCTTGGCCTTTTTTTTGGCGCCTGTTTCGAGCGGGTGGAGTCTCCCCTCATAGGACGCACTGTCGCAGACTGCCGCACGAATGCAGAGGTCCACAGCAAACAAAATCCCAGCCGTTCTCCAGCTGCACCCCTCATCACCCTCCTCCCTCCTCCCTCCTCCCTCTCTCCCTCTTCCCGTCCTCCCCCTCCCCTCTCCATCCTCCCCTCCTCCCCCCTCTCCCTCTCCTCCGTCCCCCCTGTGGCCCTCCTTTCCCCTCCCCCTCTGCTGCTGCTGCTGCTGCTGCTGCTGCTGCTGCTGCTGCTGCTGCTGCTGCTCCTTCGCTTCTTTTTCCCGGAAAGGGCATGGGCCCAGGGTTCTCTTTTAGTAGGTAAACCTGTCCCCCGGTGCCAACTTGAGGGAGGCCGGCGAATTTTTTCCCTGATAAATAACGAGGTCGAAGGAGGCCGGCGAATTAAAATTTGAGGATGTCTCGAGCGAAACGCTTGTTTTTGAAATCCCGATCGATAAATCACAGGGTGCGGGCCACTTTTTTCGTGTGTTGAGGATGTCTCGATGCGAAACGCTTGCTCCGCCAGAGTTTGCCGAGGATGTTTCGAGGCGCGAAAGCTTGTTTTGCAGACTGCGACCGGCGACGCGGAAAAAAAAGCGCCCGCGCGAAAGGAATTTCGATGATGTCTCGACTTAATTCCTTTGTTTTGTACGATTTCCTGGAATTTTGGCAGGCGGGATGTCTCGAGCGAAATGCACGACCCCCTAGCACGCCCATACCCAGCACGCCCCACCAGCAGACCAGACCCCAGCACGACCCACCAGCACGACCCACCCAGCACGACCATACCCAGCACGACACACCCCAGCACGACCGACCCAGCAGACTACCCAGCAAGACCACACCCAGCACGACCACACCACACGACCAACCCCAGCACGACCCCACCCCAGCACGACCAACGCCCAAGCAGACCACGCCAGCGACGACCACGCCCAGCACGACACCCCGCAGGACCACACCTCAGCACGACCACACCCCCAGCATGACCACACCCCAGCACGACCACGCCCAGCACGACCACGCCCCAGCACGACCACACCCCAGCACGACCACACCCCAGCACGACCACACCCCAGCACCAGCACGACCACACCCAGCACGACCCGATCGATAAATCACAGGGTGCGGACCACCCCAGCACGACCACACCCCAGCACGACCCCACCCCAGCACGACCCCACCCCAGCACGACCACGCCCCAGCACGACCACACCCCAGCACGACCACACCCCAGCACGACCACACCCCAGCACGACCCCACCCCAGCACGACCCCACCCAGCACGACCACCCCCGCCGACACACCCCAGCCACGACCATCAGCAGACCACACCGCCTGGTTGAGTGGTTTGCCTGTCGTCGTGATGTTTGTCGGGGTGTCTCGTGGAATGTTTTCGGGGGTGTCTCTTGGAAGCATTGTGAGGTGTCCGCGGATTTCGTGAGGTGTCTCGTGGATGTTTCGTTTTGAGGTGTCTCGTGGGATGTTTCGTGAGGTGTTGCCCCGTTGGGTATCGTGAAAACGTGCCCATGCTCCACATGTCTATATCCCTTTCCGGGTTCGTGGGTCCATCATGTTGTCCCTCTCGTCATTTCTGGCCTTCCCCTTCCTCCCCCCGCTCTCTCCGTCTCCTTCTCCCCTCCCCCGTTGTTCATCGTCGTTGTCGTCGTCCTTCTCCTCCTCCTGCTCCTCCTCTTGCTCCGCCCAGCCCAGGCAAGAGGGACCGGTCCCAGAACCGCAGGAAGAAGAAGGAGCACGATGGCAAGAGTGCACTCGCCACTTTTCTCCCCTCCCGCTGCTCCTGTTGCTGCTGCTCCTTTTGGCTCCGCGCCTCCTCCACCTCGTCCATCCCCTTTCTCCCCCTCCTCCCCCTCCTCGAGCTTCTGTTTGCCGTGTCTCAGCTGGGCAATGGCCCCGCGAGCGGCCCCGCTTCAGCCCCCCCCCGCCCCGGAGACTACTTCACGGCGGCGGCCACGCGGCGCTCGCAGGCGGCCGCGACATTCGCGGGCACCGGGTGGTGCTCGCGGTCCTTTCGTGGAGCCCGCGGGTTGACGCCGCGCTCGCAGGAAAGCCGTGGTGTTCACAGGCATGCCGTGGTTCTCCAAAGCTAACACGGCGCTCACAGGCCACTGCGGAGTGCACAGTCATACTGGTGATGCTTCTGGCCGACGGCGCCCACGGCGAGTCACCGGCGCCCGCTGCCTTTTGGGACACGCCTGTGTGGCCAAACGCTTAGGGAAAGTTTGGCCACTCTATTGGACCATGCGTTCCTCCTGCCGTTATGGAAGCCCTTCGGCGAACACGTGTGGGAGGACGAGGATGATGAGGAGAGAGGTGGAAATTGAGGATGAGGAGAAGGATGAGGAGACCTCTTGGGAGCTTCTTCGGTCATTCTTGGGGCCTCCTGGGTGCTTCCTGTGGGCCTCTTGGAGGCCTCTTGGGCTTCCTTGGGCCTCTTGGGGGCCTTTGAGGGCTTCTCGGGGGCCTCTTTGGCCGTCTTACGGCGTTCCTGGCCCGTCTGACGCCGTCGGAAGCCGTCTTGGGAGCCTCTCTGGCCATTTTTCCCGGAAAGGGCGTGAGCCCAGGGTTCTCTTTTAGTATGTAAACATGTGCCCGGTGCCCAACTTGAAGGAGGCCGGCGAAATTTTTCCCTGATAAATATCGAGGTCGAAGGAGGCCGGCGAATTAAAATTTCAGGATGTCCCTAGCGAAACGCTTGTTTTTCAGAATTTGTTGAGGATGTCTCGAGCGAAACGCTTGTTTTGTGTTAAATGTTGTCCTCTCATGGGGACCTGAATTCAGAGGATCTCTCATGTGAAATGCTTGTTTTCACGTGCCCAGGTCTTGAGGATGTCTCGAGCGAGACGCTTGGTTTCACGCCTCCAGGTTGCCCAGGCAGATGTCTAGCATGAGGATTTGTTGAGGATTTCTCGAACCAGAGGCTTGTTTTCACGTGTCCAGGTCGCCCAGGCGGATGCCTAGCATGAGGATGTGTCGAGGAAGTCTCGATCGAGACGCTTGTTTGCACGTGTCCAGGTTGCCCATGCGGATGTCTAGCGTGAGGATGTGCTGAGAACGTCTTGAGCGAAACGCGTGTTTTCACGTGTCCAGGTTGCCCAGGCACAGCACAGCCCTCGGCACGGTACATCAATATCGATACCTTGAGCATTGCAGCTTGGCATGTTGCCTGGCACGTTCCGCGGAGCGTCCCGTGGCGAGTCCCCCTGGCACGTCGCGCGGTGCACGTCCATTGGCACGTTCCGTAGCGCGTCCTTGGCACGTCCCGCGGTGCGTGGCCATGGCACGTCTCCTGGCACATCGCCTGGCGCGGCCCTTGGCACGTTCCGTTCCGCGGCGCGTCCTCCTGGCATGCCCCCCTGTCAATCAGCTCGGGGGCAGCTACTATGTGCTCAGGCAGTTCGTGCTTACGATCCATATCAGTTCGGCCAGGACTCGGATGCAAAAGAGGACTCGATCCACAACGCTGTAGAGCACAATCGCGGCATGGCACATCGCAATTCAGCACGGCGCACAACAGCACAGCCTCTGCACTGTACATTAAGATCGATACATTCAGCATTGCAACCTGGCACGTTCCGTGGCGCGTCCTGTGGCGAGTCCCCCTGGCACTTCGCGCGGCGCGTCTCCTGGCACGTCCATTGGCACGTCCATTGGCACGTTCCGTAGCGCGTCCCCTTGGCACGTCCCGCAGTGCGTCCCCGTGGCACGTCCCCTGGCACGTCGCCTAGCGTGTCGCTTGGGACGTTCCGCGGCGCGTCCTCCTGGCATGTTCCCCTGCCAATTAGCTCTGGGGCAGCTACTATGTGCTGAGGCAGCTCGAGCTTAAGATCCAGATCAGTTCGGTCAGGACTCGGGTGCAAAGGAGGACTCGATCCACAACGCTACAGAGCACATTCGCGGCATGGCACATCGCAGTTCAGCATCAGCACGGCGCAGCACAGCACAGCCTTCGGCACGGTACATCAAAATCGATACATTCAGCATTGCATTTGCCCGTCGCCCAATCAGGTGTCCTTGAAACGTTGCCATGCCTTACATTTCTATATTCCTTTCCGGGTTCGTGGGTCGATCATGTTGGGCCCTCCTGGGGCGCTTCACGGTCGTCTTGAAGGCCATCTTGGGTGTTTGGGAGACCTCGTGAGCCGTCTTGGGGCCCTTTGAGGGCCGTCTTGGGAGCCTCTTGGGCGGTCCTTGGGCCATCTTGGAGGCCTCTTGGGCCGCCAGAAGGCCGTCTTGAAGCAAATACCAAACCCCTTCAAACACTTAAGAGAATCAGTGATTTTGGCCATTTCGGGCCTTTCTGGAGGCCTCTTGGGACCTATGGGTGGCCTCTTCTCTTGGAAGCCTCTTGGACCGTCTTGGGCTCTCTTGGACCACTTGGTGGTCTTGGAGGCATCTAGGGACCGTCTTGGAGGCCATCTTGTCTTGGAGGCGATCGGTCCAATGGAGTTGGGCTTTTTGGGGAATTCCGCGTGGCCAGCGGGCTGGGCTGAAGCCCCAGGGGGTTCTTATGAAACAAACCGTCAACCTCGCAGACATCTAGCACGCCGTGCACCTCGGTGGCAAACCAAAGGGGGCGGCGGATCTGGTGGCCATCGGCCCATCTCGCCACCGTGCCTGGGTTGTAGGTCAGAGGCTTCTTGGATGCTGTTGGGACCTCTTGAGATACCTCTCGGAATCCTCCTGGAGACAGTTTTCGGGGCGTCGCGGGGACTTTCGGGGGCCTCGCAGAGTCCTCTTCGGGGCCTAGTCGGGCCTTTCAGGTGCCTTCTGCGGCTTCTTGGGGGCCTCTTGGGGGCAATCTAGGAGGCCTCCTTGGGGCGGAGGGCTCGAAATCCCCGCTCGATTTCCCCCTCTTGGGCCACCTTGGGGCTCTCTTGGGCCGTTCTGGACGCCTCTTGGGCAGCCTATGGGGCCCTGTGGAGGCGTCTTGGGTCCCTCTTGGAGGCCTCTTGGGCTGTCTTGGGGCGATCTTGGGAGCCTCCTCGACCGTCGTGGACGCTGGGGATGCCTAAGAGGCGTATGTGCTGAGCACATGTGTTTTCTTGAAGGGATGACATGATTTTTGCCTCTTGGGACCCTCTTGGGAGTGCTCTTGGGGCTCTCTTGGGGCATCTAGTGGGCCCCTTGGGCCGTCTTGGGATCACATGGGACCGTCTTGAAGCTGTCGTGGACCTCTGCGGGGCCCTCTTTGGCCATCTGAGTTGGCTCTGGAGACAGTCTCCAAGGTTTCGGGCAGCTCTCAAGAGCTCACCGCTTTCGTGCCAGTGGCAGGGGGGGGCATGCTGTTGTGCATTCGCGTGGTGATCGCACGCCACTGCGGTGTTTGTAGGGTATGACTTTCTTCACCGTGTGGTCTCCGCATGGACAATGGTGTGCAGAAGCAGGCTGTAGTGCTCGCAAGCTGTGGTGCTGACGCTGGGGCTCGCGGCCGCAGTGTTGCGTGCTCGCGTGACGCGGTGTTGTTGGGAAGCGGCGGTGGCCCACTGGCACCATGTCTTCATTTGTCGTCGGCGGAATATGAAGCTAGCGGGCAAGTTATTGCGCTCGTACGGTACTGCTGCCCACGGGGGGAATGATGCTGATGCTGATGAGGAGGGGGAGGAGGAGGCGGAGGCGGAGGCGGAGGAGAGGAGGAGGAGGAGGAGGAGGAGGAGGAGGAGGAGGAGGAGAGGAGAGGAGGAGCAGGAGCAGGCGGAGGAGGAGGAGGATGAGGAGGAGGAGGAGGAGGAGGAGGAGGAGGAGGGAGGAGGAGGAGGATGGAGGAGGAGGAGGAGGAGGATGAGGAGGAGGAGGAGGCGGAGGAGGAGGAGGAGGAGGAGGAGGAGGAGGAGGAGGAGGGAGGAGGAGAGGAGGAGGAGGAGGAGGAGGAGGGGAGGAGGAGGAGGAGGAGGAGGAGGAGGAGGAGAGGAGGAGGAGGAGGAGGCGGAGGAGGAGGAGGAGGAGGAGGAGAGGAGGAGGAGGAGGAGGAGGAGGAGGAGGCGGAGGAGGAGGAGGAGGAGAGGAGGAGGAGGAGGAGGAGAGGAGGAGGAGGAGGAGGAGGAGGAGGAGGGGAGGAGGAGGAGGAGGAGGAGGAGGAGGAGGAGGAGGAGGAGGAGGAGGAGAGGAGGAGGGGAGGAGGGAGGAGGAGGAGAGGAGGAGGAGGAGGAGGAGGAGGAGGAGGAGGAGGAGGGAGGAGGAGGAGGAGGAGGAGGAGGAGGAGGAGGAGGAGGAGGAGGAGGAGGAGGAGGAGGGGGAGGAGGAGGAGGGGGTTGCGGAGGAGGAGGAGGGAGGAGGCGGAGGAGAGAGGCGGAGCTGGAGGCGGAGGCGTATGAGGAGGATGAGGAGGATGATGCTGAGGAGAAGGAGGAGTAGGAGGAGGAGCAGGAGGAGGAGGAGGAGGAGGAGGAGGAGGAGATGGTTCGGGATATGCTTCGGCCGAGAACTCTCACCGCCGGAGTGAGCAATGAGAGCTTGCTCACTCCGTGCAGAGCTTATCCACATAGGAACCCCTGGTTGCTCCGCCCCTCCTTGCAAATGCCTCTGTCAACCCGTGAACGTCTAAGACGATTGAAAAAGGATGTCCACAACAACTGAGCGAAGAAAAGGAAGTGCACTGCCTGCGAGATGGATGCGTTACAGCGTTGTGCAGTACAAGCGTCTACAAATTGATGTCCCGCCGACAGCAATGCATGTGACTGCCACGAGAGCGAGACATGAAGACAACATCTAACGCAACTGGCTCGGGTAGTTATACCAAGCGGGAACGCTGACGGTAAATGAGCATCACTCCACCTGCCATCGCACGTACAAGCAATCGTATTATGATCTCGACGCCACAGCAGAAACGCATGATAATTGCGACAACATAGGATACTCAACATCGTTATGGAACTTGAGGGCAGCTGCCCCGCGCCTGCCTTGCTTGCCCTTTGGGCCTTGGCCAGGCTCAGCCCTCAGCTGCAGGTTTTGCGCACCGTCACGTTGTGCACCGTGCCTGCCAGCCAGCACACCGCCACCTGCCCAGCCAAGACTGATTGCGGTCTCCACCAACCTGTGCAGCTGTACACGGCCTCGACGGACTCGGCGCTTTGCCACCGCACGGGGAAGCCGAGCCTCCTGGAGGCTGGTAGCCGACTTGCCGCTTGGCCCATCTTGGGCTCGCACGCCCCTTCCAGAGACGCCATCTCTTCGCAGCCAGCGCATGCGCCCCACCAGCGGCGCGAGCGGAGGAAGTGCGCCTCCCGTGGTCCTCGACTCCCACTGGCTATGCCACTGCCGAGTTTGCTGGCGGACGCATCCGGGCGGGCAGCGGCGGGGGGCGGCCAGCCTGGGTGGGACATGGCCGGAGGGGCTTCGAGTGCCTCCCAGTTTCTTGTGTGCGCTTCCCTGCAGCTGGCGGTTGCTTTTGGATGCCTCGCGGTGTTTGCGGGTGCTGTTTAGTGCCGCGTAGATGCTGGGTTTGGGGCTCCGGAAGCGCTTGGGAGCACGCGAGCCAGAGGACATTCATAATCGCAAGTAATCAACTAACGTACTGAGTCTGATACGTTCGAGCGTCGATAACCTATCTCCATCAATCATTGGATGCCTTTGTGTGCCTTGCGGTGCCTTGTGGGACGGCCCAGCACCGCATGGGCGTCGGATTTCGGGTTCCGCAAGCGCTCCAGTTTCGGATGCTGCCTTCGGGTGCCTTGCTGGTGCCCAGTGCCGCGCGGAAGCCAGGGTTTGGGCTCTGGAAACGCCGGGGGACGAGCCAGACAACCAGAATCTCAGGTGCTGAACGTATCAAATCTGCCACCTGTGAGCGCCGATCGCCAGCCTCCATGTTCTGGTGAATGCGGGTGCTGTCCGAAGCCGCGCAGGTGCCTTTCAGGTGTCTCCGTCCGCGCGGCGATGCCTCGCTGCATCTCGCGGTGCTCTGCGGGAGCCTTCCCAGGGGCCCTCCGCGTGGCCCCGCCGAGCGGGCCTCTCCGAGCGAGGAGGAGGACGATGAGGAGGAGGAGGAAAAGAAGGAGGATGCGCATTGCTGTGCAAACGTGTGGCGCTCGCACGTCTGAGCTGTACTGGCAAGGTCCAACTTCACTCGCCGCGTGGTGGTCAAAGGTGCCTTCCTTTGCCTTCAAGGGCGTCGTGTCGTGCACAGGCTGTGGCGCTTTCGCAGACACGCTGGTGCTCGTAGGCACTTTGCGGTCAGAGGCCACACTGGTGCTCATATGAGTTTTGATGGTGCTCGCAAGCGTTCTGTGCCGCTCGAAAGCTATTGAGGCACACGCTGCGGCGCTGTCAGGCACGTCGCGTTGACCGAGTCGCATTCTGTTGTGGCGTTCGCAGGCCTGGCGCTCGCGGCGCACCCCCGCCGTGGCGCGATCGGAGCCACCCTCCCCACCGATTATGCCCATCAGTGATCTGGAAAAAAAGCAGCAGCTCCTCCCACTCCTCCCCTCACCCTCCCATTTCTCCCTCTCTTCTCCCCACCTTTCCCCCGCTCACCCTACTGCCTCCTTCCCCGTCCTCCCACTCCTGGGCTGCAGTGCTGATGAGTGCTGCAACCCCCCTGCCTGACGGCCCCTGGACGGGCCCCTCCGCGGATCGCCGATCCGATCCGCTCCTCCCCCTCCTTTTACAATGAGCCCGACTTCGGGTTCTGGCCTGTAGCATTCCCTCCCCCTCCTCTCTCTCCTCCCCCGCCTTCCTCCTCCTCCTCCTCCTCTTCATTATCCCTCCTCCTCCTCCTCTCCTCCTCCTCCTCCTCCTCCATCCCCTCCTCTTCCTACTCCTCCTCCACCTCCTCCACCTCCACCTCCTCCTCCTCCTCCTCCTCCTCTTTCACCTCCTCCTCCTCCTCCTCCTCCTCCTCCTCCTCTCCCACCTCTCTCCTTCCGCTTCCCCTCTCCTCTTTCGCCCTCCTCCAGGATCACGAGGACAGGACTTCGTTCACCCCCCTGGCGAGCCCGCAGCCGGAGGCCGCCAGGCCGTTCGGCGGCCTCGACGGGGGCGCCCCGCCCTTCGGGCCTCGGCCAGGGGCGGCGCCGTCGCCCGCCGCGTCGCCGGCAGCGGCGCAGGCGGCGACGACGACGACGACGACGACGACGACGACGACAACGATGATGATGATGATGATGATGATGATGATGATGATGGCGATAATGGTGATGATGATGTCGATGATGATACTTATGATGTTCATGATGATGATACTGATAATGATGATTCTGATGATGACAATGGTGGTGGTGATGATGATGGTGGTGATGATGATGGGTATGCGGATGCTGGTGATGCTGATGAGGATGCGGGTGCGGATGAGGATGAGGCTGGCGATGAGGCTGATGACGATGGTGCTGATGATGCAGATTCTGATCATGTTGATGATTATGGTGAGGAGGATGGTGATGACGATGATGGCGACGCTGATGATGCTGACGACGGTTATGGTGCTGAGGATGCTGAGGATGGGGACTCTGATGATGATTCTGATGATGACGATGATGATGATGGTGATGATGCTGATGATGATGATGATGATGATGGTGATCATGATGACGATGATGATTATGATGCTGATGATGCTGAGTATGCGGATGACGACGAGTATTCTGTTGATGATGATGTGGATGCTAGTGATGAGGATGCGGATGGGGATGAAGATGACGACGATGATGATGATGATGCTGCTGATGATGATTATGATATTGGACATGCATGTTATGCTGATGATCATGATGCCGATGATGATGGTGGTGATGATGATGCTGATGATGAGGCTGTTGATGATGATAAATGCGATGACAATGACGATGATGACGATGTCGATAATGATGGTGATGATGACGACGGCAACGATGATGACGACGACGCTGCTGATGATGATGATGATGATGATGATTATGATGATGCTGATGACGAGAATGGTGATGATGATGCTGATTATTAGTTTTCGAAGTTATTATTATCCTTATTGTCATGATGCTGGCGATGGTGCTGAGCATGATGATCATCTTGACGATGATGCGGATGTCGAGCATGTAAATAAGGTTGCTGCTGATGCCGACGATGATGCCGCTGATGATGAGGAGGATGATCATTCGTCTTACGATGAGAATGCGGATGATGATGATGCTGATGATGATGGGACAGATGAGGATGCTGAGGGTGATTCTGATGATTCTGATGGAAACTCTGATGGTGGTAACGATTGGGGCGGAGCTGATGATGCTGATGGTGGTGGTGATGATACTGAGGCTGCTGAGGATGCGGATTGCGACTACGATGATGATGCTGATGATGTGGATGATGATGAGCGTGATGCTTCAGCTGATGATGATGATGATGCTGGCGATGGTGGCGATGATGAGGGAGGTGATGATGATGATGCTGATGATGATGATGATGATGATGATGATATTGATTATGATGATGATGCTGATGATGATGATGTTGATGATACTGATGATGATGTTGATGAGTATGATGATGATGATGATGATGGTGGTGAAGATGATGCTGCTGATTAAGATGATGACGATGATGCATGCTGATGGTGATGATGATGGTGATGCTGATGGTGAGGATGTTGGTGATACTGATGTTGATGATGGTGCCGATTGTGATGATGATGGTAATGATGACGCCAGTGATGATGATAATGATGATGCTGATGATGCGGATGATGACTACGTTGATGATGATGACGATGTTGATGATGCTGCTGATGACGATGACGCTGATGATGATGCCGAGCATACGGATAATGAGGATGTTGAGGTGGGTAAGGGTGAAAGAGAGGAAGATGCTCACGATGACGATGTTGATGATGGCGATTACGATGGCGATGATGTTGATGCTGGTGAAGATGCTGCTGAAGATGCTGCTGGGCAGATAATGTTGATACTGCGGATACTGATGATGGTGCTGGTTATGATGCTGGTGACAATGATGTTGATGATGCTAATGCGGCTGATGCTAAGGATGCTGCTGCTGCTAATTCTGACGATAATGCATCTTGTTGCGAACATGTATCCGACGATGATGCTGACGATGATGATGCTGATGATGATGATGATGCTGGTGGTGATGATTATTATTGTGATGATGCTGATGATTATGCTGATGCTGATCACGATGACGATGACGATGACGACGGTGGTGATGCCGACGCCGATGATGGTTGTCAGGATGATGATGATGATGATGATGATGATGATGATGATGATGCTGATGATGATGATGTTGATAACGATAATCAAGATGCTGCTGATGATGATGATAATGCTGATTCTGATGATGATGACGATCGTGATGCTGCTGATGATGATGTTTACTATTATCGTTACTCTTATTGTTGTTATTATTCATTCTATTGTTATTATGATGAGCATACTATGATGGTGCTGATGATGATGACGATGACGATGCTGCTTCTGCTGCTGATGATGATAATGATGATGAGGATGAGAGGGATGAGGATGAGGACGTTGGTGAAGGAGATCCCGATCATGCTCATGATCATGAACACGACGATTATGATGAGGGGGAGGACTTGGAGGAGAAGGTGGAGGAGGAGGAGGACGAGCAGCAGAATGAGTGGTACTGGGAGGGGGGGAGCCGGAATGGTGGGGAGGAGTAGGAGGAGGAGGAGGAGGAGGACATGTGAAACCAAAGATGCATCGACGATGCTGCAGTACGCTCTTCTTTCCCCGATCCCCTCTTCATCAGTCCCTGCAGGTAGTCCCTCTCGGTACGGCCAGCGCCATCTCGAAGGACGAGCGCCCCACGGGCCCGCCCATGCAGGCACGATCCCAAGCCGAAGAAGCAACGGACCTGCATCCTGCTGGCAGCACGGAATGCGAGCCTGTGTTGCAGCGGAGGCCCATGACCAGAAGCACCCCGCTTGTCTCCAGGGTGCCCCGGGTTTCTTGGGTTCCGATGTTTTTGGAGACTGCTTTTCCCAACCATCCTGTGGTGTTGGGTCCTCGTTTTGAAGAGACGTCGCCCCGCGTTCCTCCTCCTCCTTCCTCCTCCTCCCCTTCCTCCCCCTCCTCCCCCTCCCACACCCATTCTGGCACACCCCTCACACGTTTCGTGGCCCCATCGGGAGCTCCACCGAAGGCCCCAGTGGTTGCGCCCGCATGCGGTTCCACCCCCCATTCTGGCACACCCCTCACACGTTTCGTGGCCCCATAGGGAGCTCCACCGAAGGCCCCAGTGGCTGCGCCCGCATGCGGTTCCACCCCCCATTCTGGCAAACCCCTCACACGTTTCGTGGCCCCATAGGGAGCTCCACCGAAGGCCCCAGTGGCTGCGCCCGCATGCGGTTCCACCCCATTTTGGCACACCCCTCGCACGTTTCGTGGCCCCATAAGGGGCTCCACCAAAGGTCCCAGTGGCACTGCCCGCTTGCGGTTCCACCCCCCATTTTTGCACACCCTTCACACGTTTCGTGGCCCCATAGGGAGCTCCACCGAAGGCCCCAGTGGCTGCGCCGCATTGCGGTTCCACCCCCCCATTCTGGAACCCCTCAACACGTTTCGTGGCCCATAGGGAGCTCCATCCGATGCACCGATGGTCCAGTGGCTGCGTCGCATGCGGTTCCACCCCCATTCTGGCACACCCCTCAGACTTTTCGCGGCACCATAGGGAGCTCCACCGAAGGCCCCAGCGGCTGCGCCCGCATGCGGTTCCACCCCCAATTCTGGCACATCCCTCACACGCTTCGTGGCCCCATAGGGAGCTCCACCGAAGGCCCCAGTGGCCGCGCCCGCATGCGGTTCCACCCCGCATTCTGGCATACCCCCCACACGTTTCGTGGCTCCATAGGGAGCTTCCACCGAAGGCCTGTGGCTGCGCCCGCCCCGCCTGCGGTTCCATCCCCTATTCTGGCACACCCTCACACGTTTCGTGGCCCCATGGGGAGCTCCACCGAAGGCCCCAGTGGCTGCCCCGCATGCGGTTCCACCCCCCATTCTGGCACACCCTTCACACGCTTCGTGGGTGGCTTCATGGGGAGCTCCACCGAACGCCCCAGTGGCTGCGCTCGCATGTGGTTCCCCCCCCCATTTCGGCACACCCCTCACACGGTTCGTGGCCCCATAGAGAGCTCCACCGAAGGCCCCAGTGGCTGCGCTCGCATGCGGTTCCACCCCTTT